CGCTAGTAGTAACAATAAGCTAGTAGAAACAAGTGCATCGCTAGTAGTAACAAGTGCCTTACTAGTAGTAACAAGTGCCACGCTAGTAGTAACAAGTGCCACGCAGGCACCGACGGTTCGCATCATCGTGGCCGGTTGGGATGGATCCAAAGCCGACGCGGAGGCGGAAACCGAAACGAGAGGTGAAAAGGAGTGGGCTTTGTGAGACGGGGAGAGTGAGGGAACTTCATGACCACGTCTACATGGACCCACATGCCTTTTTTGGAGATATTTGTTAGAATAATGCCTGCATCAAGATGCATTTCTCAAGGACACTTGAGGCTGTTGGTTGTGTGTCCAACAGTCTCTTGAGCCTTCAAAGAGATCGCGCTGCTTTAAGTATTTCTGGGTACGTACCGTACTAGTAAGGCTACCACCACGGACTGCATCCGCAAGGGTAGCAGCTTCGTGTGTCTCCATCGAGCTGCATGTTTGTGTCAGGTCTTCTTTGGATCGCAGCAGTGCGAGGTCAACTTGACCAAACGCCTGGTGCAGCCGTGTGGGTGGCCTCAAGCCGGATTTTTCACAAAACGACTTGAAGTCATTAGGCATCATTAGGCTTATCCAGGAATCGGCTTAAATGATGGACTTCGCTACCCCATAGCAGGCCCCTTTCAATTGAAACCTTCTTACTTATCCCATGCTGCTGGCAACACCGCCCGCAAACAACAGCCAATTCATGAGACAGGTCGAGAAAACTGATACTTCTTCATGCTGCGACCGAAGAAAAATTGTTCCCTGGATACTCTCATGCCAATACTGCGCTTGCACAGCCAGTTATAGATAATATAGAGAGATGAGTCGATGAGATCTTTTGAGTTCTTGATGCAATCAAAACTGCACCTTTGTTTGCACAAACGTATTTGATGTGCCACTGGAACTGAACTTGATACTGGACGAGAATTTGGAAAACAAGCCCATCAGGCCCAGAGTGTGGACAAAGTCATTGTGTCCCGCTGCCCAGAATAGCCTTTGGTAGCTGTACATTGTTTGAGATGCGAAGCATTGCGTAGCTGCAAGCACATTGGATTGGAAGATCTCTCAACCATGTGGAGATCTAGTCTATTTGTAAGGAGATTCGCATCGATTTGATCTAGTGTCAATGGTTTTTGCAAGTGTTTGTAAGGGTAAGGAGGTAAGACGGTAAGGAATGGTGATGACTCGCTAGCTCCGTACATGCTTCAAAAACCAAACTCTTCCGCTGCGAGATCTCGAACGTGCTCAACGCGGACATGGCAGCAGTGGCTCGTGACCTAGAGGACTTCTGTTTTTGCTAAGAGATTTGCGATTGGCTCAACCTAGTACCGATGGCCTCCAACATAGTAAGAGCGATGGCCTCCAACCATTCTTTTTCGCTAAGATGTTGCTTTGACATGGAGAGAACATGTTGAAAGAAACAACCACACCATGAGGCTGGAGAGATGGCTCAGTCAGCTGTTGCACTTTCCTCAGACGAGTGACGGTTACAATGATGAATGCGTCATGCAGAGCTGCAGAGCATCCACAGCAGGGACGCTACTATGAGCAAAATCGCTACTAGGAGCAAGGACGCTACTAGGGGCTCCTGGCCTTACTACTAGGAACAATAAAGCTGCTATTCTTTCTTTCTTTTTTTCTTGTTCTTTGTTTTTGGAGCCCGCTCCCCCCTCCCTACTTAATTGAACTTAATGAAGTAAGGGCGACTAGTTCGCTACTAGCAATAGGAAGCTCCTAGCGAACAGGACGCAGAAAAAAGCGCTCGCACTCATGATTTGGTTCCTAGATCCTTTGGGACAGATAGTAGTTTGAGTACCATGCTACCTAAAGGTGTACTCGGCAGTGTGTTTCCCAGCCACTCAGTGCTGCAGGGTTGGGGCTTTCGAACTTTCACAGCCGCTTTCAAGGCCTGCAAGTGCAATGACGGCTGGTACGGTGAGAACTGCCACTGCCTGAGAACTGCCATCAGTTGTGTGACCAAAATATCAAGACGAACAGACAGGTCTTACGCTGCTTCAAGTCATGTTGTGGCAAAGCTCAGACCGTGAGAATCTGCTGAGAATTCGTGATGGGGGTGCAAAAGCCAGGTGGGAAGCCCTGCACATGCGTCTATCCTGGCACACTCTCCTGTTGGAACCTAAGACGGGGAGGTTTGAATCCATAGCACAGAGCAGTAAAATGACGGTCATTTTCCATTTGGGTTCTCTTTTGGTTTCTGTTGTTGTCCAACCGTTCAACCTTCAAATCCTTCAGCTTTGACTTTTCTTGGACAGCTGGCATTGATCACCCTACCCGGATAGCCCTGTCTAGCCTTGTTGCCAGCGTCAAATGGAGCTCTGCGCATTTCACACAAGCTGCGAGGTGACGACGGTGCTAACGGTGATGGAACTTGCTTCTGACTCAGTGCTTGCAGTCTTTTGGTTCGAAGGTAGTAAGGATGCTACTAGGAGCAAAGGGCATCGCTACTAGGAGCAAGGACGCTACTAGGGGCTCCTGGCATTACTAGTAACAAGAAGCTACTAGTAACAAAGGGCATCGCTACTGGGGGAGCAAGGAGCTGAAGGACTGAAGCCATTGGGCTGGAGGTCACATTGACATGTTCCTAGTAGCGATGCACTTGTTCCTAGTAGCTTATTGTTACTACTAGTAAGGCACTTGTTACTAGTAGCGATGCACTTGTTCCTAGTAGCTTATTGTTTACTACAGAGTCTCCAAAGACTGAAACGACCAATGTTGCCCAGGAGAGTCCTAGGATGGCAGAGACCTCATGTCCAAGGAAAGTGTCCTTTTCTGACACATCGTTCCACTGCGTCAACCAACCTCAAATCATAAGAGAAAGTATCAGCAAGTTTCACTCGGCGTTACCAATTGACCTCAACGACCCCAACTGCTCCTTGCAAGCTACCTTGCTTCTCGACACTTTGACCGACTGGAGATGTTGCCTAATAGCAACGGCCTCCATCCGAGCTTTAAGGCACTTGCGCAGATCTTCACAACGGAACGAACTGTGAACTTTGTGACATGGGTCCTGGCACTGAGAATGTAACCACTGTACAGTCAGAGAACGAAGTAGGAGCAAGGACGCTACTAGGGGCTCCTGGCATCGCTACTAGGAGC